ATCCTTAACTCATCTAGGAGCCTCAAACACCAATTTCGAAGCATCCATGATCAATACATTAAACCCTAGATCTTTAGGGAACCTTTCAGCCAATCCATTTAATCGAGTTATGATCAAGGCTCCTGCTCTGGTTCATGGGCCAAAGAGCCCTAGTAGTTAAGGGCGGCAACAAACTGACCGGTCTGCCCTGGCCCTATTAGGCCTGGGTAGAACCAAAAACAAATATATTAATAAATAAGAGTCGAGCCGGGTTGAAGCAGACCAACATTAGCCCTAAACTAGCTCTCTGGCCACAATTTATGGCCCAGGACCAACTCTTTTAGGGCCGAGCCGCCCAGTTCATTGCCACCTTTATTTAAGCTTTATTTCATTTTCATAATATTTTTCCTTATTTCGTGCTTTATATTTCCTATTGTTATTCTAATTTTCTCTTGACTTCGATGCCGCGTACGCACCAACATTGTCGATGACTCAAGAGGGTCTAATCTCTTGGCGAGATTAGATAACCTTTCCACTGAAATTCTGCATGACCCTTCTTCACTTGTAAGTTTTGTTTAGAGCGAAAATGCGCAAGATTTGTTACAATATCCCAAGTTCTAATGTAGACACGCAGTGGATGATATACATGCCATTTTTTAAGCTTAGCTCTTGTAGGAATCTCTTCATCCACAAAATCTTCATGTAGCCTTCTGTAACTGCAATGTATTATGCATATGTGGTTGATAGGGCCACACACTTCTGCAGCTTGGACGTCCGGGAAATAGCTCCCCTTCAAAAGGGAACAAGTATATCCCCATATTGACTTCATAGAGTTTATATCTCATGCCATGGCAGCGTTTGTGTACCCTTGTAGCACATGTATACCTCCCCCAATGCATAAAAATATTTTGGATGTTCTTCTAAGATATCTGAAAACCCACTTTTACTGCTGCCTAGTATTCCTTGTCATATTAGCGATGAACCTACTCAATATGTCAACTGCATGTGCGATATCTAGCCTCATGCACATCATGAAATACATCAAACTTCCTACAGTTGATGCATAGGGCACTTTTTATATTTCTTCGTTATCACTCTTATTTGAAAGGCTCTGCTTAGCACTTAACTTGAAGTGCCGACCAAGTAGCAAACTACCAAGTTTTGCGTTGCCTATATTAAAACTTTCGAGTACAACTTTGGAGCATTTTCTCAATGTACATTTCTTATGACAATTATAACTTCCCGACCTTGCTATCACGATATATCTTCATGCTCAAGATCTATTGAGCAGATCTTATGTCCTTCATGGCAAAGTCATTAGTCAACTCTTCCTTCAACTTGTCAATCAGTGAATGACCAACACTCAGCATGCCATCAACGTACAATAAAAGGACGATGAAATCACCGTCGGAGAACTTCTTGATCAATACACATTGGTTTAAGGTTGTTCTAGTATACCCATAGTTCTTAATGAAGAAATCAAATTTTTTGTACCACTTCCTTGGGGCCTGTTTCAACCCATATGGGCTCTTCTTCAGCTTGGAGATTGTGTGCTCTTTCTCTTGTATTTTAAATCCTTCTAGCTGCGCCATATATATCTCTTCATCCAAATTTTCATTGAGAAAGATAGTCTTGACATCTAGTAGTTAAATCTCTAAATTCAAGCTTACAACTAGGCTTAACACCATATGAATTAATGACATTTTTACTCCTGGAAAAAAGATTCCATCAAAGTCGACACCCTTCTTCTACATAAAACCTTTCACAATTATCATAATCTTGTACCTTAGTTGTGAGCTCTTTTTTTCAATCTTTAGCCTAAGTATCCACTTGCTCTTAAGTGCTAGGCAACTTCACAAGTCATAATTATGGTTCTTATGCAAGGATTTCATCTTCACTTGCATAGCTTTTGACCTACTCTCTATGTTCTTTGGCCTGCGCCTCCTCGTAGCATTCGAGTCCTTCAATATATAAGGTACGTTATGATGTGGAGTATCTAAGTAGAGGGTTTATATCCCTTAGAGAACTTTATCAGTTCAAATGTAGGTGGTACTTATTGAACATGTTGCTCCTCCTACTGTACATCACTTGAAACTAGCATGTCAGACTCTTGAGACCTATCCTCTTGTTGTACTTCTCCTCATCATCATGTAGCACAATGGTAGGAGCTATAACCAATTTTGAATAATTGATGATCAGTGGCATGTCTGACTTCCTCACATCTTCAATAGTAAGGTTTTCTTGCAAGACCCCATCACTACTCCCAATCACCTTCATGTTCTCGAGATCCTATATGCTGTAGTCAAACTCTTCATCTGAGTACCCTAAGAAGATACATAAGGATGGTTTCTCATCCAACTTTGGATCTTTGCTCCTTAGGTGTATGCACAAATGCCTCACACCCTCAAGATTTTCATATCTTTAGAGCTACTATCGGCTAATGAGACTCTATGTTATTTGACTAACAAAAACTGGTCATGTGGGGTTAGAGATGTACTCTTGATATTGAGAAGGATTTGCTTCTTTACTCAGATTTGCATCCCTTTTTCACTCATATTGCTAAGTCTCATGTGCCACATGTCAAGTAAGGGTTCTTCTATGGTGGTATTAGCTTTGTTATTGCATGCTTGCATTTTTTTTCTACAGAGTGAACAATACATCTTGACGTTTGCTAAGACAAGAGGTCCCTTTCTCAGCTTCTAGTGGTACCGGTCATCATCTAAACACCCTCTGGAGATATGGTTCAAATAGATATCTCATTTGTGCTTGATATCCTTTAATACTAAATGCATCCTGATATAGGTCTTGATATATATCTCCTTTATGTACAATTTTTTAAAGAACCATTATTTCCCATCTTTACAAAGCCAAAATCTCCTACTCTATAAGAAGCAAAATAGTATCTAGGTAGGAACATGAAATGATGCTCTAGTATCTACAACCCAGTCGGAGTTGTACGAACTTGATGCAATATTGATGCCTATCACCGCAGTTTCTAGCCGCACCGATATTTGTGGTCACCGTAGCGGTTTGCTTGCCATCATTCTTGGCATTATTCTCATTCTGCTCTTTGTTGAGCTTTTAACACATTTTCTTGATGTGCCCATTCTTATCACGGTGAAAACATGTGAGTCCCTTTCTCGACTCCGATCTAGCTTTATCCTTAAATCCATTAAATTTGTTTTAGTCCATATTCTTGGACCTTACTCGATTTGTGACAAGAGCTTATGAGTTGGATGTGTCAAAAGACTTTCTTCTTATCTCCTCATTCAACTAGCTTCAAGAGACTTTCGCTGGGTTTGTGTTCTACCCCTTCACTGAGCATGTATAAGTCACTGAAATATAGAAGATGTTCTATCTATGGCTTCCAAATGATCCAATTTTTAACGTTAAGTGACATTATTCTACCCCCAACACAATAATCTTTTTTTAATTCATAGACACTAGTTTTCCACACCAACTTTCTTCCCTTTACTAGCAGTCAGGGAGGATCACAATCTATCAGGGCGTCACTGGCAGTTAAGAAGTCACTGTCAGTCAATGTCCCATTGACTGTCGAGGTGTCGTCGAAAATCAACGTCCCACTAGTTGTCAAGGTGTCGCCTGTGGTCAAGGTCATATCGGATATCAAGGTCTCATGGAGGATTAAGGTCCCACCGTATGTCAAGGTCTTGTGAGCTGTCTAAGGTCCCACCGGTCGTCAAGGCGTCACTATCAGTCACGGTGAGTTACCAGTGGTCAAAGTGATTCATTGTCGGTCAAGGTGGTGACCAATCATCCGGCAATCAAGACATTCTTTGTACAGTGGCCACTCACCGACATTCTCTAACTAACAATGTGTCCCAAAAAAAAAACATAGGACAGGATTCTCCAAACACTCTCCTTTTCTCTGCATTCATGTACAGTGATGGAGGACTTGCCTCAACTGTTCATCCACGCATCGGGTGCTATTCGTGAATTTGTTCATTGGATGTATTTATTATTCCTACCCAAAGGCGATCAGTTACCATATTAGTGATGCTCGTCGATAAACCTATTTTATTGAAGTGATTGTGTCGTTGTTTGTTTACTTGCAGCATCTTAAAGTATTTCGACTGGGGCTTTAAAATAGCGAAAATTACATAAAACCCCTCAAAATGCACTTTCTAATCAACTTACCCTACCTAACTTTTCCTAGCAACTTCTCCCCTGAAATCAAGTTTCGTAGCAAATACCCCCAATATTGCTACCCCCAATACACAGTTTTTTTTTTTTACGAAATACCATTCCCGTACATAACAAATCATTTTCGGATCCCAATAAAATGCCAGACCACTTTTCCAAAATGCCGGAGTACCCATTTCTCCAATAGCATAATTCCCGGATCGCTACAATGAAACGCCGGACCGCCCATTCCAGCAAAATAATCGCCGGACAACCTCTTCCAAACACTGAACTGCCCCATCCAACGAAAATGATTTGCTACGCTAGACCGCCCCGTCCAACAAATATGATTTGTTATGTAAGGGAATGGTATTTTCATAAAAATAAATAAATTTTTTTGTATTGAGAGGTTTTTGCTAGAGAACATGGTTTTTTGGAGGGAAGTTGCGTTAGGTTGGGGTACATTGATTAGAAAGCCCATTTTGGGGGCTTTTATGCAATTTTCCCTATAAAATATGTTGGGTTTATGATGTTTTGACATATAATTATATTTACTTGCATTTGATTGCCTATGAACCAGAGTTTTGTGATCGTATTATCCAATACTAACAACCCTTGTGGTTCAGCTTCACTTATTGATCTTGAATGAATATAAGTATAATTTTTGCATTGTCACCTAGCCTTACTGGCCATGTTTGATTTAAAATATCAGAATTAAATTTTCTGCCATGCACGAAGAAGTGGTCGATGTGTAAGTTAAATTATTGTTTCAACTCTTACCTTTTAAATCAAAGCTCTGAAAGACGAAAATTTGTTGAAGAAAACAAGAACAAAAGACTGAAAATAAAATTGGATAATAGAAATGGAGAACCCTCGAATTCTCACCAGACAAAAAATCCACTAATCAAATATAGCCACTAAAATTGATAACATGGTCGTAGAATAAAATTAAGGAACAGAGGGTAAAGGTACAAACAACTATTTCTCATCTACAATCTGACCGATAATTTACAATGACTGGAAGTTCCTCTTACCCTCCCTTTTGCAATTTAATTCCTAGGCACCTTGGTTCTATAAATGATACAGCCACAAAATGGCATGTAATAGGTGCACCATGGAACATCACCATGCACACGTACACACCCCGGCATGCTTAAGCAACAGGAACTTCCCCGAAGCTCTATAGAGACACTATTTTCTTCAATAACCCAAATCAAGCTATAGTTTCCATCCACATAATAACTTCAGCCTTCATTTAGAAAGAAGCCTTTTGTGTGGGTGCCATCATAGAATCCCCATTCCATCAAAAAAAAGTGAAAGACTCAATTAAGGCTCTAGGGAACACTCATCACAACATGACCATACTCTGAACAGGTGTTTCAGGCTGCTGATCAAATGAATTCTGACTCTGAAAACTTGTTTCCCTCGAATGCCTCTCACTCTTAGTTCTCTTGACCTGCTCCTTAAATGATTTGAATTCTTCTTCTTTCCAATCAAAGATTTTCATCATGCCACCCATGCAACCATGTATGGGCCTTTGGGGCTCGCTACCTGGGGCTGAGGACACAGGCCTCACGATCTCGGGGCCATATTTCCTGTATTGGCATGCCAGCCTCACCAAGAACAAGAAGAGGGCTAAGCCACATGCGACCCCACATATAAGGAAGAGGCCCCAAAAGCTCTCGAGCCCAAGCTTGCTGGGCTCCACTTGAGTGGTTTGAGTGTTGCACCCACGTCTTGTGAGCCACTTGTCATGGAGCCTTTGGAGCTCGCCGTTCTCTGATAGAGTGAGGAGGGCGGTCGACATGTCAATAGCTAGGGGTGAGTCCCTTTGGAAAGCCTGCCAAGATTTGAACAACAGTATTTTTTTGATAAGTATATTTACTAAAATAGAAGTACTTCGATTTTTTTCTGTGTAAGTCGTTACTTTTGTTGATGTACAAGTGTGTGTATAGAGTATTACATGTGGGACTACTTAGAATACATAGCCATGGAGAGGCAAGGATTCAGAGGACATATTTACTCTAGTATGCTTGTACCTGAGAGGGCTTAGCTTTGGATATAATGAATTACACCTCTTGATTATATTTACATATACATCGACAAACGCATACATACACATATCGTACGTATTTACTGCTATTGCCAAAGTATGCTAGGCTTCAGTTTTTTACTGCTCAGCACATGTTTGCAGAGGTGGTACACAAAAATACATCTTAGTTGTCTACATAGATGTTATGTACACATGTACATATGTTGGTAAAACACAAAAAGAATAAATCAAACCATGCAGTTTTTCTTTAAAAGCTGGATTTAATTGATTGTTGGATTGAACCATCTACTTCTCTATAGGATCAATAATGAGCCATACTAATAAATAATCAAGTGAGCATGAGATGCACTTAAAAGACATTACAAAATAAAGTTGTATAGCACTTTTGCCCATAGTTGATTTGCCACACAAATAGATGTCACGAAATGACATGAAAATTTCTCTTGCATAAGCTCAAAGATGATGGAACGATGGAGTAGAAGCATTTCATATAAACTATTTGTTAATATAACCCTAAATTAATTGGTTATCAATATCCATACATGTATCTATAATATTAAGATGTCCATCATGCGGTCTAACAGAAAGTTTGCAACCATTTAAATTACATTGGCTTTAGGTTTATTTCACAAACAGTTATCGGTTTCTACCCAAGAGTCGAGTATCGTTTCTATTGAATTTGAGATAACAAGTACGTTTTATTAATAAAATAAGTGGTTGAAACCCTTGTGTACAAGGAACTTTACGTGATATGATGAAATGGCTTAAGGTTGGTAACAGTTTTTAAAAAGTCGGTGGGGTCCACTCTGACGGCCAGGTTACTCAGCCTTCACTAGCAGCCGAGGCAAGTTCCCATCTACCAACTTGGGTACAGGGGAACCTGCACAGTACCGGGAAAGTACGTATAGTACGAGACTGAATACTGTACACTGTATTTTAAAATATAAGGTGGCACAGCAATCCACTGCCCATTTATGCAAAAATTTGTCCATTGGAACTCCAAATTGCGTCCATTTGAGCCCAAACTTCAGATTTAAGTGCAAAATCACAAGATCTACCAAATACATGCATCACATCCAACAAAAAAATCATATTGCTCACATTTTGAAGATCAAAACATGGGGAATTTTTTTAACCGAAAAACACTCTGATATCTATGATTCCAATTGCTGATCTTTGATGAAAATCAAAGCCTAGATCATTTTTGTGTAATTGATGCATTCAAAGGCAAGTTTCCCGATAAAAAAGAGAGGAACTGCTAGTTCTATTTTTCAGATTTTCTGTGAACCCAAAATTTTGAAACCCTTGGATCTCATAGATCCAAGTCGGATCCCAAAAGTTGTTCGGAGGTTTTGATTTGTGCTGCATAAGGCTTGGCCTCGATTGAAGCCCTGATTCGCACAAAGCACAAAGATCCAGATTTCGAGTAAATTATTATCATTTTTTCACATCCATAAAAATAGTTCAATATTTGATATTTTGAATCATTATACTATTATTTGTGTTATTCTTACAAGCTGTTCCATGTTCTGTTCTATTTTATCAAAAAAACGTGTATTACTTATATTGATTCCTCATTTGATACTATTTGACAGGCATTGCGTACTCTCAACAGGTTGTATTTCAGAGCTTCTATTATAGGCACATTGTGTAGCCAATGTTTTGCATATTTTCTTGAATTATTCATATTAATTTTGCTTGGTTCAGATAATTTTTTCATTGAATTACTTTATTCAATATTTTTAGTTTTTCTATTTTTTTACCAACTCCTTCATGGACACGGGTTGAAATTGAGCGAATCCATTCAGACTCGCCCGAGTTACCAAGTTCGTGGCAAGGGCCTAGTCCAGAACCTGAGCCAAGTTTAAAGTCATGGTTGCTAATGAATACTATCTCAGATAAAAAATTTACCCTAGTACATGTGCATAAGAAGACATAGTACAAACTATCCTAAACCACTAGCCCATGTGACAATTTGTTCATCAAGCAAATATGTTTCTCTTGAGTTGATAAGCTGGTAGGTGAATATGTGACTTACTTCACCAAGGTGATGCATGCTAACTTATATAGCTGGTTAACATCTACCTTAATGTGTTTCTCCTTTCTCCTGCCACTACATACATGCTGGGAGGGATAGATTGTGTGACCTAAACTTCTAAATTTGCCAATAGAATTTACAGCCTTGTGATCTCATTAGAGGAGATAATATAATTCAATTTCTAGCCTATATATTTGACTTAGATACTCTTTCTTCTTGCTAGTGCTTCTTCCAACATCAAGAAACTAATGGAGATCCTGGAATAACAAGCCTGTTAGCTAGTCTCGATAGGCAACCACCTAGAGATCCGAAGATGTTGATACAAAGATCGCACATGAGTTTGAACAAATGTATTGCATGATATGTTGAACCATCAAATAAGAGGTGTGTAATACATGAACAACTGACTCACCCCATTAACTGCATGAGTTATTCCTAAGAAGGCCATGATCTAATACAAATGGTACTTAAAAAGGCAATTAAATGTGGCAGAAATGGAAAGAAGCTCACCATCAGTGTAGGGTTCTCAAGAACCCCTAGCTTGAGGAACCGGAAATCTCAAAAACCAGGATCCCACCCAAGATCGTATACGTGATTGCTAAATACAAAGTAGATGAATACAACTATAAATTGAGTGCAAGAAAAAAAGCAAACATTAAAAAGCACACCACCACAATATACGATTTACGTGGTCCACCCTGCAGAGCTATATCCATGGCCTTGGCAAGTAGGAATCCACTATCACAATGAAGATTACAATTTTGGGTTATAAGAGATAATACCTCTCTCTAAACATCGGTAAAATAACTCGTACCGATCTTCCCTTCTAAACCCACTCTCTTGATCAAGCAACACCTTCGATCAATATCTTTATCACCGCTATAGGAAAGAGCACCTTGAGAGCAACCAAGAGACTTTCTTTATCTAGAAGTGGAAACTTAACTAACCCAAAATCCCATAGGAATACAGCCTCTCTTGGAGGCCATGTCTCTCTCTCTTGGGTACCCATCTCCATCTTGGAGATCCCTTCCCATAACCCCCCAAAGGGATGACCCTCAAAAGGATGGGTATTATGTCTTCATTGATTCTCTTTTATAGATGTCACTTTCTTATTTCCCAAAAAGTACCTTTTTCTTTTTACATAATACCCTTAATCTTTAGAAGAAAATATGGGTATGGTGTTTTGGCTATCACCAAACCCAACAATGGTTTCTCTCTCTGTTGAAAGGGGTTTGGGCTTGTTTTGGTTATTTGAGAAAGGGAAAGAGGTGAAGAAGGATTTATTGTCCACTTTTATGGAGAAATTATATGAGCTTGTCCTGCTCAAGTCCTTGGATCATCCGAAGTGAAATACGGGGTATATCGTAGGTTTTAGGTGATTGCAACAAGGTATTTTGGTGACAGTTTTCATCGATTTTCTCCATTGAGATAACATTGTATCCTCTTTGTAAAGTTCTCTTTGATAATGGAAGTACTCCCAAGCTTACCCATGGACGTAGCCCTACAGGGTGAACCACATTAAATTTGTGTTATGGTTTGTCTCTCTCTAATTTTCTCTTATTAATATGTTTCCATCTCTTATTTATTTTTCTTAAAGTGTTGCAAACAATCCTTGAGCTTATTGTTAGATTATCGATTTTACATATTCGGTTTTGAGTGTGTGATATTCGATGATTGGCTAAATTGGGGTTTTGAGTATTCGAATCTCCAACAAGTGGTATTAGAGCTCAAGGGAAGTGTGGATAATTTGGGAAAATGGCATCTCACAAGTTTGAGGTGGAGAAGTTTAATGGGAAAGATAATTTGGAAATTAAAAATGCAAGATGTATGATAGTACATCAAGGGCAACACAAGGCACCATTGGAAAAGATAAAAAATCGGTGAAAATGACTAATGATGATTGGGACGAACTTGTTATGAAGGCAAAACCCACTATTCGCTTATGTTTAGCAAATAAAGTATTGTTTAATATTGTTGGCGAAAAGACAGTAAAAAATTTGTGGGAAAAATTGAAAAGTTTGTATCAAACAAAATCTCTCATAAACCGAATTTTCTTAAAAAACAATTGTATCCCTTGAGAACAAAAGAGGTTGCAAAGGTGTCGAAACACTTGAATGAATTCAATATCATTTGTCAACTTGAAAGTATTGGTGTGAGAATGGAGGATGAAGATAAGGCGGTCACCTTAGTTTGTATATTGTCGGAATCCTAAGATAACCTTGTTAGTACGTTGAGTTGTAGTGAAGAAGATTCTCTTGATTTGGGCTCGGTTTGTAGTGCACCTCTTGCCAATGAAATTCGAAAGAAGGCACCGATGGATGATTCGATGACTTCGAGGATGGATGTCCTTATGGCAAGAGGCTGGTTGGATGAACGGGTTAGTTCATCAAGAGTTTCCTCAAGTAGCCAATCAAATTCGAGGGGGTCTTATAACAAAGGTTGTTGGTTTTGTGGCAAGCTTGTCCACATAAAGAAAAATTGTTGGCAAAGAAAAAGGCAAAATTCCTCATAGTGTTTGGAATTGAGAATGGAAGAGAAAGGTGAGGCAAAAAATGAGGCTCACCAAGTTGAAGAATCAACATCCGGTTACATTGAAGATGAGGTGTTGATGGTGGCATGCAAACTCATGTACTATCAAAGTTGGGTTCTTGATGGTGAAGCTACATATCATATGTGCCCACATAGATTGTGGTTTGATGCATATGAGCCAAGTGACGGCGGTTTAGCATCAATGGGAAACAACTCAATG